TATATATATATATATATATATATATGCCAGCCTTTTATGTCAGAGCCCCCAAATTGCTGTCTGATAAAATGTAGGCCAGCAGATTGAATTACTTCATTGAACCACTGCTGTCCTCCGTTAATAGTAATTGCAGAGATTCACCAGCCTTTCCCGGCACCATCTCAGATATTTACCTCCCACTGTTTTTCAATTCAAACCTTTGATGAAAATATTCCCAGTCCTTCTTTAAAGCAGACACCCAACTGTCTTTCTTGACAAAAGCAAGGTCTCTAAATCAGATCCTGACAATTTGTGACACAGCAGTCGATCCAAATCACCTTTTACCTATGTCTCTGTGCCATTTCCTGAGGGGTTGGGGGTGGAAATGTCCATCAGGCAAGCCTGTCCCTTTGGCACCTGGGAGATTGTTGTGCCAGCAACAATGGGGCCAGCGGAAACGGGGACAACTCAGTGTTCTTCCTTGGACTTGAAGAAGGGAGGAAGGGGCTAGAGATGGGTCAGCCAGGTCTAATAAACAAGAGAGGGTTTGCATATTCTAAAACTATCTTTTTTTTTTTTTTTTTTTTTTGAACGTTGAGAAATAGCATGTCTATCTTTGTCTTCCTCCAGAAAGCAGTGAGCATTGCCCTTTCTTGTGCCCTTTTAAGGTTGCTGCAGTACTTGAAAGAGGCTAACACAGAAAGATGAAGCAAGTTTCCATAAAACCCAGAGACGGGGTCGGTATACCTCCTCTTTGGAGCCTGTCTGAAGTCCCAGCTGAACCGGAAGCGCATTATCCTTAGAGTTTGAGCACCTGCCTTAAGGGGTTCTCACACAGCACCTACTGCAAGAGATGACCCTGTCCATTTTCCCGAGGACTATGCAGATTGTCGGTGCATGAAGCTTTCTAGACTTTTCTAGATAGAGAGGGCATTATCTTCTGAGATAAAGACAATGTACACATGTTTGCGCAAGGCTTTACTTTGTTCCAAAGAATAAATGTTGGGTGGCCCCATCTAAGAACTTAAAAATGAAAAATAAAGCAGTGGACAGATTGGTTTTTTAAACCTTTCACTTGTCTAGCCTGGGAGGGAGAAAAATCAAGGTTGATGCTTCCAATTCTTCTCAACTCTACCCACCCCTACCTCTACCCCACGGGGTGTTTTGACTATCACTGTGTTTGGGGGATTTTTCTTCTCAGGGACCACGCCTGTCTCCCACTGGGCACACTGCATACATACAGGTCACCCAGTAAACGTTTTGAAAACAGTTGGACTCATGGTAGCATGGCGCCCAAGGGCTCCGTGTGGTACCAAGGAAGGGGACTGACACGGCAGAGGATCCCCTGAGAGGTCCGCTCCTATCTTTTGGAGCTCGGCTTGGTTAGGCCCTTGTGTGTTCCCTTGTGTGATCAGAAGGGTCCCATTTCAGCACAGCATTCTTGGAGTCCACATCTAGCATTGGACTAGTGGACCAGCTGTGGAGCTCCTCAGGAGCGCTGCGTCCCAGGGTTGGTCAATGACCAGCTAGCTGGTGGCATGGTGGCTACAGTCTGCTGCCATTCTCATAGTTTTTGTCCCATGTGGAAGCCACCTGAAGGGAACCAACCTTAGAAGGACACCTTTCCCAGGGTATTGTCAGGTAGGGGCCTGGCTTGGTGGGACTTGTGCGAATAGATATTGTGCTTTTCAAATGGTTTCATTGCAAGCTCTGTTCAATTTGGGGGAGAAAAGTAAGCGCCGCCACAGCTGAGCGCTGCCAAGGATTAGACCTCTGAGGTTAAGACTTGTCTTGACCTGGTAGGGCATGATCAAGGGGAACGTAACAAAGAGGAAG